ATCTATCACCTTCTTCGACAACAGATTCAGGGACAACGTCCTTGCCTACATGTTCTCTAGTATCATCAGGTTCTAGCGGCAAATTCTCATGATCGCTGGGGGGAAAGACAAAGTGGCCAGACATGAATAAAGCACGAGAAGTTTCTGCTTCTTCCACTTCATATGAATCACCTTTGCTATCATCCTTTGTTTCAACTTTTTTAGGACCAGGAGCGGCAGCATATGCAGATGCAGTAAGGGATACAACCTCCCATTCGTTCCCACGTGGAATGTTTTCCTCTCCTTCCCCATTATCCGCCATTGTCAAGACTTCAGTATTTCCTAAAGTTAATAGTATTAATTTCTTTAACAGCCAGAGAAAATTAGATAAGGGATTACATAAACTTGCTTTCCTTGTAGAGAAATAGAGGGGGTTAGAGGAAGGTAATAGCAAAAGCAGTCCAATAAGAAACAACTGAATAAAACTATAAAAATTACAAATTAACTACTAAAAAATCAAAGCAATTCCATTGCATTAACATGAACATACAAAGTTTGACAAAGAAACAATATGAAAATAACATTTTCAGAGAATTTTCTTCAAAGAGAATACCAAATTTATATTTCCCTCACACCAAAAATTCACTGAAAACTGAAAACATCGTAATGGAAACGCAAGCCAATAATTTAAAAAATTAATAATAATCATATCTAAGAAATTTTTGCAGCACACGCAGGTCAACCGATTCAGCAAAACACCGATACTGTGTTGTATACCTGACGAGATCTTTTCGTTATCGAACTGTACAAAAACCATTAAATAAGTTTCAGCGACTCAACATCAAGTATCAACCGAGTACTGAACACTCAAATCAATCTAACAAAAAGTAACTTACACAACGAATCATGCAGCTATCTAATAATAGTATTATACATCATAAATTAATCAAAGAAAACAGAGAATCAGAAAACCGTATCAACCGTAGCATAGCCATGCGATGATTAGAAGAAACAATTAATCATAAACAACAAGAAGAAGAAGACGAGAAAATCAGTCATCGTCAACAGATAATCAAAAGATGATCAATAATCAATGATTCTGGTTTCGTTAAATTTAAAAGGATAAAAGAGGGGAAAAAGGGAAAAAGGAAGACGAAAACTTAAGGTCAGCACTTACAGGGAGCGATCTACAGGGTACGAGCACTAGATCAGCCTCAACGATGAGTTCACAGTTTCGAGAAGTGCACACAGAAATCTGGGTAACGTTTTATAGATCTCGAAAAGTCTTTGTAAGAGGATGATGAAACCGGGAAAAAGGTAAATGCTAAAGTGGAAAGGATAGAGTTACCGGCAGTGACCGGTAAAACAACGTGGCCTAGGATATATCTTCACGCTATCCGTACAGATCGGAAATGGAAATAAACGGTGATAAAATTTGCGTGTGGAGTGGAACTTCGTGCGCTTGCGTGCACATTCAAAGCCACATCCCCTGCAATTGTTTGTATGGTAACAGATCTGATCGATGGATGATCTTAAGACAGGTATTTTTATGGAAAAATGTTGAAACGTCAATGCAGCTTATAATTATCTTTTAGCACATATTACTATTGCTAATGAGAATATTTTTTAATAGATAATGTGAAGATTTTTTATTAATTTATAATAATTACAAGATAATATATTTATAAAGATAATTTTTAATTATTTAATATTAAATTTACTATATTTCTGATATTCCTAATATTAAAAAATAATATGAAGATTTTATTAGTTGGTCTACGAATAGTATTTTATTATTTTATTCTGATTAATATTGAATACTATTTTTTTTATATTGTATATCGAATACTAATTATAATACGAAAAGTTTATACATGATTATATTTGGACCAATGGGTTAATGATTAGTGAATCTTTTCTTTGCTTGAGATTATGTTTTTTATTTACGAATTTTTAAATTGATGAATTTTTATTGATAGTTAATCTGAAATTATTTATGTAAATAAGGGGTTTTTTTATAAAAGGTAAATAGGGTTCTTAAAATTGAAAATGTAAAATAATAGTATTTATTTGGCAAAATTTAAAATTAAAATTAATTTTACTAATTATCATTGTAACATATTTTATTTTTAATAATTTAAACTTTTAATATTAAATTAAAAATGTTTACATGAAGAATCGCACAATTATTTCTACTCGAATCAACTCGAAAAATCGATTTTTTTTTATTTTGAGTTATTCAAGTTGAGTTATTTAAGTCAACTCGAATTATAAATTCGGTTTTCGAGTTCGATTCGAGTTGAAATTTTGAATTTTCGATTTATTCGAAAAACCATAAATTTGACTAAATAGTATAACAATTTTACTTTTTAGTCCCTGATATCATTATTTCTTCAATTTCACCTTTATTTTAAGTCCATTTTTTACCAAATTTGAACTAAATTCTCCTAAACCATAGTACAATACATGTGTACTTTCAATTTTTCTTTTTTGATAACATTTTTTTATTTTTCAATTCAATCATTCAATTTTTCATAATCTCCTTATTTCTTCAATTCGTCATTTATTTTAAGTCTTGTTTTTACCCAATTTGAGCCACATACCCCTAAACAATAGTAGAATACATGTGTATTTTCAAATCCTCTTTTTGATAATAATTTTTTTATTTTTCAATTTAGTCCTTCTATTTTTCATAATGTCCTTCAATTTTTCATAATGTCCTTATTCCTTCAATTTGTGATTTATTTTAAGTTCATTTTTTACCAAATTTGAACCACATGCTCATATACCACAATAGAATTCATAACTTCAATTGTTATTTTTTGGGTAAATTACGCATTTAGTACCTAAAGTATCAATTTTGATCTATTTTAGTACAAAAACTTCAAAGGAGAATAGAGTGAACATGGTTGCTACTTCAGAAAATGCTGGTGAACCCTCCAGAGAGAATTGGGACAGTAAACTGGTTAATACAAGTGGGTCCTCGGAATTTGATGTGAAGATGTCTGATGTAATCCAAAGAAAGGTATAAGTGAAGTGATTATAATGCTTGTGTTTAGATTGTGAATCTTTATTATTATTTTTTACCCTAGTCGTTTAAATCATCGCCGGATTCTTTTCTCCTGGTCATTGGTGGTGAGTTGGATTCGCAGATCTTGTCTTAATATTTTGAATTTCTTGTAGCAGGCTCTGACCAGTCACCATTGGCTATGACTGTCCTGAATTTCTTCGTTTTCATAATTTGTATCCTTTCTATTGCATCTAATTTTTCAGCATACACCATTTAATCTAAATGTTCTCTTTATCGAATTGGGTCTAGATTTTGCAGGACATACATTGTATAGGTATGGTGCATTTGATGCATGGGAACTTGTTTTTGAGATTTAAAAAGTTCAATGTGTTTGTAGTGGTTTTATGATTTGTCCTACCTGGTTCTTTTGCAATGTCCGTCTGTTTTTGAGCTTTTTAGAACCACTCTTCATGTTATTTGATCTTAAAGTTATTGATATTTTCCATGGATGGATATGCTGAGCGATTAGAAACTTGTATATCAAAGTATCTTCCCTTCCAACTTTTAAGAAATTGTCAGTTTTGACTCGATACTTCGTTTAATTGCTCATGTCTTATATAAGTGATTGACTAGAAAATTCTCAATATTTGCAGTGCAAAAATGTGATTAGCAAGCTTCAAAGGAGAATAGATAAGGAGGGCCAACATATTATACCACTCTTAACAGATTTGTGGAAGAGGATTGAAAACTCGGGCTACATGAGTGGAAGTGGCAATAATCATATGGACTTGCAGAAGATTGATCAGCGTGTTGACAGATTAGAGTACAGTGGAGTTATGGAGCTTGTTCCGGATGTGCAGTTAATACTAAAAAGTGCTATGCAGTTTTATGGGTTTTCACACGAGGTATAACGGCCAATTTTAACTTGGCCTTCAGTATCTTTGCATGTTCCTACACAAATCTTTAAGTGCCTAGAAACTTTCAAATCCCCTTCCTACCGATTGAACTCGTATCTGTTTCTGTAATTCTCCCATTAATGCTCAAATCTTTTATGCTTACTGTGCAAATGCAATTGGGATTCGCAGGTCAGATCTGAAGCGAGAAAAGTACATGATCTGTTTTTTGATTTGTTGAAGATTGCATTTCCGGATACAGATTTCCGAGAAGCTAGAAATGCACTTGCTTTCTCTGGCCCTGTATCTACCACTGCCTCTGGTACTTCTGCTAGACAATGCAAGAGGCCGAAATTGGTAAACGAGGTGGAATCTGATTCAAACCTCAGTCAAAAGACATTGCAACGCGGATCCACTCATGCTGGTGAGGACACAAGGGTTAAAGAGCACATGCCCACAATGGAATCGAGGCTAGGGAAAGGAATCGGAGAACAATATCAGCACAATGGCGACTAACTCTTCCTGGGGAGCTGGTTATTTGCAAGAAGAGGAGGAAAGATAGGGAAAAGTCTACAGTAAAGCATAGGAGTGAATCAGTCGGCACTGTTTCACCCAGGAATAATGGTCGCGACATCAGGAGCCCGGGTGCAGGATCAGTCTCTAAGGATGCTAGACCAACCCAACAAAACAACCACCAGCAAGGTTTTCTCAACCAGCCTGGTCCCTTGCCGAACTGTTCTATTGGGATCGTTGGTTGGGCCAATCATGTGAAGAAGATGAGAACAGACGTAGGTAAAAGGAGACCTGGCCGTCAATGACTAGAATTTCAGTAGGTCCAAAAAAAAAAACCTGTCATGGTCTCTAGGAGGTTTATATTTGACCCATTGGGTGATTAATCTGGATTTAGCATCTTAAAGGTTCATTATGAGAGTACTCCAACTTATATTATCATATTAATAACATGTGCATTAAACCAACAAGAATTGATTCGAGTGGTAAACAACTCGATATCGCTTAAGTAAGGTCTCGAGTTTGAGTCCTTAAAGAAATCCATGCTGGGAGACTCACTACCAAAGCTATGACAAACAAAGGCTAATCAAAAAAAGAAAAAGGGCTACACAAATTGCTTGATCTAAGTGTGTATTTTCATTAACACATTGAGCATCCACAATCATAAATCCATTTAAAGTGGAACACACACACACACACATATATATATATATATATATATTTACAAAGCCATAGCAAAAGAAAGGTACCCTACAGCATTCACTCCCAGAAATAGGGAGGAGAAACTGATTCTGCAAACAAGTAAACCAGTTAAATAATCTCATTCTGCAAACAAAGCTCCGTAGAAACTGATTCCGATCCCTTTGATACCCCATAGAATTACACCAACTTTCTCCCGCTGATCTAAAAACTGACGAGAAAATATTCAAAAGAAGAGTATCAACATCCCGAGTTGCATTATCACTTCGTAAAAGGTCAATCTTATGGGCACACCACCTGACCAGCTGCAGGACCAAAAAACTAATATGCATCTGCAGCATATTTAGTGGAAAGCTTTACTCTCAAACAACAAAGGAATTCCATTTTGAATAGAGTTACTGATCAAAAGTCTGGTCAAATATCATTTCCTGTAACATTAAAATAGTACAATATATCTGTAAGGTTATGTAAAGTGCAAGGTTTGACACAAAAATTAGAAGACTGCAGATTCATACAATTTACTATTAAAATACTACACTACGGGATAGACAAAACTCGAGTTCATCCTTCAGAGCATCATAAATTGAATCCAACAAGTCTGAGTGTAAGACTTGTCTCAAGTTAATCCCTCTACAAGTCTACAAGACTACAAGCAGGCTAATCTTATGTGGGTAATTGACTACAAATGTAAAACTAATAGCAAGTTCAGAGAGGCAAAACCTGATCACATAAAGGGCAGGTGTCACTTCTTTCCATCCATTCCAAAATGCATGAGAGGTGAAAACGATGTTCACACTTTGCTAACAGTTTTGGATTCTCTTCGTCATATTCTGCATGTCCAGGTACCATAGACAAGCTATCAATTAGGAGGTGCTAAAGATATTAAATTAACAAGGAAATTGGCAGCAAGGATGGATTTTAGATCTTACACTAGCAATTAATGCCTTGGGCAAAAAGAGTAGACCTACCTTCAAGACAAATAGGACAGGTATCATCTTCCTCTATTGTAGATTTATTAGGTTCGACTAATGTTGTGACTTCTGGTTTTCTTGGTGAAAGAAGTAAAGAACCGGATTGTGTTTTGCAGTCTGATTCCTCAAGATCTTCACATGTAGGCAGTGTCTCAAAACTGCATCCACCGACAGTTTCCTTGAAAGACTCTGAATCACTTGAATGTGGATACCCAAAGACCACATCATACGGCAAAGGTGCTGGAGGTGGCCGAAATGTGTCAGGTACTTCTAGATTCAAATTAACCAGAACTGCAGCCATTGCAGAGGCTGACCCATCATGAGGTGCTAAAGACTCATTCTCTTCCAAAGCAGGTGAACACTGTGGGAAGGATTTTTAAAATTCAAAGACTGATACATAAAAGACGGATACTGAAGAACATTTTTTTTATCAAAATAGTAGTTAAAAGGTTATCCCCACTTATTAGAAATCACCAGGTAAGCTACCATATAGCACAGTGGCCAAAATTTCTATATCCCATGAAAAAACTTTTAACATTTATCAGATCAATAGATCAGTTGCAGATCACAGGCTCTACAACCAGTTCAAATGAAAGAAGGAATGAAAGGGATCCATTTCGTGGAATAATCAATCTCAAAAAGAGTAAACTAAGGGTATTGAAAATGTTCTTGTTTTCTTTCTCTTTGCTTCTTCATTTTCCAACTTGTTATAGTAGATAATGGTGAGTGAATACTCCCAATATTCTGAACAAAAACCTTCCATATCTTAGGTCTGAAGAAAGAAAAAGCACTATAAGATAATAAAGGCATTAGGCATGTTTACAAGATTAACATATTACCAACATAATAATAGACAGGTGTCCCGTGCAGATGAGGTTTCCAGGAAGAACAACAACAGCCACCCATATCCCACAGTTATCTTTGTCATCCACTCAACGCGAAGGTAGTTTGGTGCATTTTCTTCTGTAATCTGACATCAAAGGCAAGTAGAATATAACACTTTGAAACATTAGGGGTAAAAAAACACCTAACAATCCAAGAAAAAATATGTAACACGATAATAAAATAGAATCAAGCTTTTTAACAAGCATGAAAGAGCAAAGTGAAAATATCCTTATTAATCATGCCAAACATAAATGTGAAATAAGGAAGTTGGAATTCAAACAAACAAACTATCCCCGTATATAGAAAATTATATACAATTACACTAGAACATCAATGAGGCCATTTCATAATGAGCTCAGTATAAAACTTCATAAAATTTTGTCAAGATGATTATATTTGTTCCTAAAAAGAGCAAGCCACAGACTAAGTTATCTGACAAATATTATAAGCAGATGTTGCAGATAATATCGAGAAGTAAAAAACTTCAGACAATCAAAATTCAGATTCATACCAATTCTTTGGTTAGCTGAGGATAACAAGTTACCAGCTTCCTGTGTATGCATTACAACCATACAGCTCATAATAACAGATATATGCATCAGCAAACAATGCAGAACTAAAGAGGGAAAACAAAAGATAAGAAAATGATGACATGCATACAGAGAATGGCTCAAGCGGTTTATTATAATAAGCAACCACATGCCCAGATTATCCTAAATATAGAAAAGTATTGAAAATCGCCATAAAGCAGACACTAAAGAACTCAATTTTCAAAATTCATACTTTTGACATCTTCCACAAAGGCAATCCCACACAAAACTATCAGAAGCTAACAAGGAAACTTTGATGTTTAAACTACACCGCAATACAGTTCGGATAAAATAATCCGACATCAATCACTAATTAACTCGAATAACAACAAACGACGAAACAATCCATATAATAACGGGAAAAAGTCATAACAATTTCAGGAACCCTAATTTGAGAAGAATGGAGTAGAAGAGGTGGAAAGTGACGAGTAACAGAAGGGGCTCCCCGAAAAGAAATGATTTTTAAGTAATAAAAAGGAAGTTCAAGGATTAAAAGAAAACAAGTGAAGATTTTACGTTCTGAAGCGGCGGCGGAGGGAAGAGGCGAAGAATCTCTAGCCAAAAATTCCCAACTTGTTAGAGTTGGGTGAAATTGAAGAAGAAACTTCTTCTCTGAGAAAGAAAAACAGAAATAAGCTTTAGGTTTTTCCCTTTTATTTTTATTCCATTTTAACTTTTGTCTGTTATGTGGGTTCTTCAAAAGTATGCGCTCCTAGGCATGTAAATGAACTGAATCGTTTATGAATCGTGTGGTGTGAAGTTCGTTTATGTGTGTTTATTTATTAAATGAATGAACATGAATAAGATTTTTTGTTCGTTTAATTAAATGAACAAACATGAACATAGGTCTCGTTCGTTTATTTACGTTCGTGAACGTCGGTTATGTTCGTTTGGTTATGTTCATTTATGTTCGTTCGTTTATGTTCATTCATTTATGTTTAACACAATCTTCTTAAATCAATTTTGGTGACCAATTTGTAAGTATCTTAAAAATATTAATCTGATATTCTGATGACCAACTCTATAATTAACCCAATTTTATTTGGAGATTAAATCCAATATGTTAACCTGTGAGGCACATCACACTTATATTCATTTTTCCCCTTTTTTCCCCAAACCTTATTGTTCACTGGAGAGTGAAGACGATCTCTGAAAGATTCAAAACAAGTTATATTATAGTGCAATATGAAGTTTTACAGGTCTGTTTTCATCTCTTTCTCTATTTTATTTGACTTAATAGCTGATATGTAAAGTTATTGTGGGTATCTTCACATCTAAAACTCAAGAAAACATAATACTTATTTCTAGAAATAGATGGGAAGATAAAGGTAAAAATCAGAAGTATATGAGCATCTGTAAAAAGAAAAATATATAGAATTTGCCAGAAAACAAAACAAAGGTTTCTATGCAATTTCTGAAAAAAAATGTAATAGCGGAAAATGATTGTTCATATGTAATCATGGAACACTAAGATAAATGTTATAGCGTTAAATTAAAGTCGTGTGAATCATTTAATATCTTTAAAAGATCGATCGAAATATTTGATATCTTCAAACATTTCATCACTGCTAATAAACTCTTACGCTATTTATCATTGTAGATTTGGTTGATTTGCATTGTCGGCTATTTTTCATGAAAGAACAATGGAAGGTAGGGTCTCAAACGTTTATGTTCATGTTCATTTATGTTCGTGTTCGTTTATGTTCGTGTTCGTGCTCGTTTATGTTCGTTTATTTATTAAATGAACGAACATGAACAAGTTATATTCCTTAATAAACGAACATGAACAAAAAAAATTTTGTTCGTTTATGTTCGTGTTTGTTTATGTTCGTTTATTTATTAAATGAACGAACATGAATATACCTTCGTTCATGTACGTTCGATTGGTTTACAGGCCTATGCGCTCCACTTAGCTCTCTCCTTCTGGGTTTATTTATTTATATTAATTGAGTGCAATGATACATTCGCATAAGTTTTTTTTAGTAAACCAGCTATTTGATTATCTATCATTTAATATAAAAATAAATATTTAAATTAGATCTCAAAAAATATTTTAATATTTAAAAATTATTTTATTAAAAATATGTGCCTAATGTTTTAATACTACATTTTAGATATCTAGACATTAACCTTGTTAAAAATCTCTGTTATGTGACATATATTACGTTACGATAATTTTGAGAGTTTATTTAAAAATTTTAAAAATAAAAAATATATTAAAAACAAACAGTTGCGTGAGTTTTATCCCTTCTCCCTCTTTTCCTTTCCTCCTTTCTCCTTCTATAATCGTCGGTCATCTAGTTGTGATCGTCGATATCATCGTAATCAGCACCGACGTTGAGCACCCGATCAAACCCCTATTGACATTTTATCGTAATCTGTGACCGTTTGTCGTAGAGAAATGTTCAAAGATTTATCGAATTTTAAGCCACCTCACCACCACCATTCGAATCACGGTGTAATTCTGATCAAAACTTATTCGTTCGGCGATAACGATGACGGTCCAAAATGACCGACGACGGTTGGTAATAGGTTAAAATGATAAATTTTACTTTTTTAGGGGTTTTTTTTATAATTTTAGTAAAAAATTGAGTTTTGTTATAAATAATTTTTTTATTTTTCTTTTTTAAAAATAAGTTTTTAATTATTAAAAAATAAAAATTACAATAGACATCGAAAAATATAACTGACAAAATGTTACACTTAATTTTAGTAAAAAATTCTTTAAGTACTATAAAGTTTATCGAGATAAAGTTTGGATACTTATTTTTATATTAAGTCATTATCAATCTATTATTTAAATTTTAATTTATTCATCTAATTATTACTTATTAAAGATAATTTCAATTTTATTCTTATTTATTAACAACGCACATACATAATGTAAATACAGTTATTCGAATTTAAGAAAATAGTATTCTCTTTAATCATTGAAATCACTTAATGGTTTATATACCGTACATATTTGGGTAAACTAGTTGTTTATTCGTTTATTTATTCTCTTATTTTTTAATTATTTAAATAATTATAAGATAATATTCGTTTAATTTTTTTAATAATTGACAATACATACTATCAAAATATGTATTATTTAAACTAACAAAATTACAACCACAAAATATATTGTTTTCATTAGATTTAAGATTTTAATTTGAATTATTTCACAAAATTATACAAAATTTTAACTATCAAGTTAGGTTATGAATTTACTTATATTTTAATAAAGTTATAATTTATATTTTATAAATGTTAAGTTAAAAATAATTTTTTGTTTTATTTGGAAATAGAAAAATAATTAAGTAATTGTTTATATATTTCTATGAAAATAAATTATTTTAAAAATTAAATTTAAAATATTTATTTATAATAAATTATAAAGGTAAAGTTAAAATATTTTAAAGGAAAATTAAGAATTAAAATAATTATTCAACTGAGGGCTAATTTTGAGATAATGTGATTTCTACTTCATTATACGGCGGCTGTGGTCTCTTTGCAACGGTCAACTCCCCAGTGTCCGGTTCTATGCATTCGAAATGCGGTACTCCTTTGATCTCCATCGTCCATTTCAAACGACAGTTATCTTCTTCATCAATACTCGAGAGAGAGCCACCCAATCACGCGCGTTGAGGCCGAAACTCAATCCATCTCTCTCATCGAGTACACTCAGAAATACGGCGTCGGCGCTTCATCCCGAGTCGACCGGCTTCTATTCCCACGCCCTCAAAATCTCGGCCAAAATGGGTCTCTTTAAAGAAGGGCAACAATTCCATTCGCGCATAATAAAACAAGGGATGAACAACGAACTGCCTTTGCAAACTCGAATGCTAAATTTAACGTGCAAACAATTTCCCGATGCAGAGAAATTGTTCGATCAAATGCGTGTTCGAAACTTGGTGGCGTGGAACACAATGATATGTAAGTCGAATCTTTTTCTGGGTTTTTATTATTTCAAGAAAATGTTGATAAACAACGTAGGTTTTGATCATATAACTTTGAATTCTTTGCTCCGTGCCTCCTCTGAGGTAAATGACGTCGTTTTTGGCAGAGAATTACATTGTCTTATAGTGAAATTGGGGTTTTTATATGATTCTTTTGTGAGCAGTGCTCTTGTTCATTTATATGGGAAATGTGGTCTTGTTGAAGAAGCGAGATGGGTTTTCGATCAAGTGTTTTGTAGAGATTTGGTGTTGTGGAATGTGATGGTTTCTTGTTATGCTTCGGCTTCTTTAACACAAGAGGCTTTTGAGCTTTTCGATTTGATGAAGAAGGAAGGTGTTAAGGGGGATGGCTATACCTTTTGTTCTTTGCTTAAATCTTGCTGTAGTTGGGGATTTGATGAACTGGGAAGGCAGATTCATGATCTCATTATTAAACTTGGTTTTGATTCAGATGTTCCTGTGGCAAGTGCACTTGTTGATATGTATGTAAAGAATGGAAATTTGTATGATGCTCTAAATGCCTTTGATGGAATGACTGCCAGAAATGTTGTGTCTTGGAACACTCTGATCGTGGGTTATGCACAGCATGGAGATGCGGAGAAGGTTATGGAGCTTCTTAGAGAAATGAGGCTACAAAATTTCTGTCCAGATGAATTAACCATGTCAAGCATAATTCGATGTTGTTGTGTCTTATCCACCTCTGCTAAATTGTCTCAGGTCCACGCGTATGTAGTCAAAAATGGGTTTGGGTCTTTTTTATCAGTTGCAAATGCTTTAATACACGGGTACTCCAAGTGCGGTCACGTTGATGGTGCGTTGCAATGTTTTGTTTTAGTTTCAGAGCCTGATCTTGTTTCTTGGACATCACTAATAGGTGCTTATTCGTTTCTTGGTCATTCAAAAGAAAGTATTATAGTGTTCGAGAAAATGTTAGCTACTGGTGTAAAGCCAGATCAAATTGCCTTTCTTGCTATTCTTTCAGCATGCAGCCATGGAGGGCTAGTGAATGAGGGGATTCATTATTTCAATACGATGATGAATGACTATGGAACTATTCCAGATTCAGAGCACTATACTTGCCTCATCGATCTGCTTGGTCGAGCTGGCCTTCTCGATGAGGCTTTTAATGTTTTGACATCTCAGACGGTTGCATGTACACCAGATACCTTGGGAGCGTTCATAGGAGCATGTAGCATCCATGGAAACATAATATTGGCCAAGTGGGCTGCAGAAAAACTTGTTGCCTTGGAGCCCAACAAACCTGTTAATTATACTCTTATCTCTAACATGTATGCTTCTAAAGGAAGATGGTTAGATGTGGAAAATGTTAGGAAAATGATGACAGATCATTGTGATTACAAAATTCCTGGTTGTAGCCAGGTGGAGGTTGCTGCGGATGTAATGTGTTCACCTCAAGTGATATAACTTTGGTCATATAACCAATCTCGCCTGGTCCAGCGAAGCATGAATACAACACATTGACCGCTCTGGATATGTTCTTCAGTAATATGGATGACTGCTCTTGAACTCTTTTTATTATGATTTCAGGTAAGGGTTTGCGCACTCTAAATGAATCTGCATGATCCATTAATCCCGAGTCAAGTGTTCTGATAATGAGTACAGTTCTTACTACAGTATGGTTTTGAATCTTCTATCTTGAAATATATCTCATTCTCATATGTCATTTTTTTATGCAATCGATGAACAATATCATGCCGACTGATAGATGTCAATGGGTTGTTATGATAATGATTTGAATGATTACGTCTGCTTAACTTTTTGTAAATGTTTTAGCAATAACAATAGGTCTAACGATAGTCTATTTAAGTGTCCTCTAAGCTGATTGGAAGGTTTGCTTTAAAGTCTGGCAACTTCCAACTTACTAGAGAACCATGTCTATCTTCTTTCCAACTATATGATAGATCATTGGTTACAAGTTTAGAGAGTGAATTTTTTTATACTCACTGCAGATCACAGTTGATGAATCATTGCTGCTTGCAAGTCGGTACGGAACCTAAGTTGTCGAATTTATCATATCAGTTGTAAGATGTTGTTGTAGTTGGTATGGATTTAAATCACATGGTACTAGTGTATAAATTTGAAAAAGAAGAAAATACAATATTTTACTTTGAATATGTCAGTTTTATAGTGCTCCCTGTGTTGCATCAGAAACGACTACAAGGAGGCCTGAAAAACTTCAGTCTCCAATCGAGAAAATGAAGTGTAGGAATCTAGCATTACAAGACATCCTTAAATCTGTTGACACTCAAAGAACCAGCAAGAAATGCCCAATTCCATTACTATCACCTTATAGCCTCGGAGATTAAGATCTGTTTCAACAAACATGCAGCCGCCTTTTCCTATTTACGAAAACCATTTAATTCGATCCGAAGTTGGATGAGATTTCTCATGTCGCTTATGTTATGTGCCGTCTTATATCTGCAGACATGAAGTGGAAGAGTGGAACATCTTACATTAATGTTAAATCCTTATTTATTTAAGTGGCGGGTGAGTTTGAGCTAAGCAACCTGTGTAAGTGCCAACCCCATTTTTGTTCGGACATTGCTGTTTTTCAGGCAGTAGTGTTTGGCAAGAAAGAATCCCTGTTGAAACCTACCGTCGTACTTTATTTGTAGTTAAAACGTTACTTTGTTAAAGAAAAAAAAAATTGTTTGTGTGATTCAGACATTGGACTTGATCAAATCAAACATCACGTTTTTGGTCTGTAGAATAACGTATTTTCTTAAAAGGGATAAGTAAGTTTTTTTTTTCCATTAAAACTGGTAAAATTTTCAATTTAGTCCCTAAATTTTTTTGTCCATATTAATACCTAAACTTTTTTTTGGGGGAGTGTAACACCCCAACCCGTACCCGACCCGAATACGAGTCCGAGATGTCACATTGACTTTTTAAAACGATTTCCTTTCAAAATAATCGAGCATTTTAATTTGTATTAAGAAAATACGACCATATATGGTTCACTTGTGCTTGTTATAAAATTTTGAGTTCAAAAATACGTATTCGTGAACAGTAAAAATACGGTATGAATAGTGAACAGTGAATAGTTCTATGAACAGTGGGGGTATCGATTCCCTGTAGCAGGGAATCGGTTCCCCTTTAAGATACTGGAAAATTTTGTTCAAACTCGCGGTTACTGTTCATGCTACAGTAACTGCTACAGTGTTTTCCGAAATTTACATATTAACTTATAAAAATTAACCTTTCATCACTATAAAAATTCCCATCTATGTTTCCAAATTTATTTAACAAAATAAATTGAATATTATTAATTACATATACTCATTAAAACATTACAAAACTCATTCGTATGACTTTTCAAAACCGATTAGAACTTATCAAATTTAATCATTTATTTACATGCCAACCCCTATCGTTATTACAAAATACACATTATACATTTCTTTTCTGATCTGATCTATGGAAAGGAGAAACTGACCTGTCTTGAGTAACTTTTATCAACCGTCATCTTCTCATAACCTACGCGTGAAACAATCACACGCTAAGTCGTTGACTTAGTGAGGCATATAAAATATATAAGAAAACCATATAACATTTCATCACTAATTTCTTTATATACTATATCAGCATATAATATAAACTTCAAATCTCACTATTGCATAAATAATTACCAATCTCATATAACAAATACATTTCACTTAGGAATGCACACAATATCACATATGAATCTTGTAAACACTTTCAATGTCTTTTATAGGCCCATGTACATTACTGAGAACTTAAGGTATGCGAGTACTGTGAGGTTGTGCACTATGCTGTCACCACAGCTCATATAAATTTGCACCGTAGTGCCACGTAGAATTTTGTCCCGAAGGACCGCGTAGAAATGCACCGAAGTGCCACGTAGAATTGCACCGTAGTGCCATATAATGTCCCTAAGGACCTCATATAAACTCCTTAAGAATCATATATATATGCTAAGGATCAAACATGTGTCTCAAAAGACCTCATACATGCTCCAAAGAATACATATACGTCCCGAAGGACCACGTAGAATTTGTCCCGAATGACCGCGTAGACCCTCTACTCTTGGCATGCCAACTATACCTCTAGATCTCATGACACATATCATGGGCATTATTCTTTATATTATTTCATATATTCACATAAACACATAATTCACTTACACGTAGAACATTTCCATGTGATTCACATTCACACGTGCATATAATCACGTAGTTTACTTTCATGTAATACATGTCACTTTTCATATGAATTTATATTCATATATCACATATCTTATACTTTGTTCTTATGTCTTCTCATAGACATATATTCTTTCTCACGTAGTCACATAGATTCATATCATATTACCTATATTATTTCTCATGTATTCATGTAAACATGCATGTCTTATTTTGTTCACATATGTTAATATATACATCATATAATCCTTTCCTAAAGTTCATACTCTATTTTCCCATATGGCATATCACATAAATCACATAGCACATATAAGCAAATATCATTTCATATAATCAAGTATACATACCTTTTATGTCATTCACATCCTTATAATCAATAATCCATACACAACAACTATTGAAAATAGACTTATCACAAGTCCAATTCCTTATAATCCTATAAACTAAAATGCACTCATAAGAACCATACCAATCATATAACATTTTAGGAGTCACTTCTTACCATAGTAACTCCGTCACTGGCTCACCGCGAGCCAATGTTTTCCGATAGCATAAGTACAATTAAATTGCACTCACCTTAGCTTTGCTTGCTTTGATTCAATCCTAATCCTTTGATTATTCCAGAACTTGTTTAGGCTCAATATCTACATAAATATAACATTTCAAAACGACTATCAGAAGCCTAAACCTTAAATTTGATGTTAATAACTTAAGCCGGTTCAATGAACCAAAAGTTCAATTTTTCATTTAGGGGGAATCGATTCCCCCCCAGGGGGTATCGGTTCCCTTTGCATAATCTGGAAATTTTCGTTCCAACCCAGAAAATTACTGTTCATTACACGAAAATTCTCTATTTTTGCTTCAATTTTTCATATTTCATCCCCTTTCATATTCCTACCTCAAGTATACATACTTAAACTAATTTATATCTATTTATTTAATCTTAAACCTTAGAATTCTATTCTCCATATAGAATTCAATAATCATATCAAATTTTTCATGTTATTCAAACTTAATTCTAACACTTCTAACTTCTTAATCTCATAGATGACAAGTCAAATTCAACTTAAAATTCAACTTATCAATTCTATTTCAAGATTTGATTCAAGAACTCAAAATCTTTAATCTCTCATATACCTTTCATCTTGTTGTTTTAGAACAAATTAAGCTTTCCTTAAGCTTAATTATCATCTAATAATCAAAACCCAACCTTGAATTGAACAAATAATCAACTAATGAAGAAACTTACCTTTGCCCTTGCTCTTACGGGAGGAGAAGAGAAAGGAAGAAGAAGATGAAATGCTTTCATCTTCTCATGTTTTTATCTCTTAATAAAGGGATAAAAATATCTTTCATGACAAATTACCATTTTGCCCTTTAATTCATTGGATAATTACTAAAAACTTTCAAGAAATATCCTCAAATAAATCATTGAACTATTCAAGTATTCTACTTTTATCATCAAATTCTGAAATTTTACAATTTGGTCACTAACCCGTAGTTTGGGATGTTACAGGGAGTTTGACGACATTGATATGACTAAAAATGAGAATCGTTCCTAAATGCCATGACTAATTTAAACACAAAAAATCAGGGATCAATTTTTTATCAAATTCAATTTGGCCATTGAACTTGGTAAAATTTTCAGTTTGGTCCTTAAACCTTTTTGTCCATACTAGCACCGAATTTTATTTGGGACTAATGGCATTTTGAGTAAGAGGATTGCTTGGGCCAGGTACAATTATAACAGTTCCACGCCTCCGACACCTATGGCCAGGTATGATTTTGGAGTTGGACTGACTTTATGCGCATAATTTTGGACAAAACTGAACATGTTTGGAGCATTACTTCACAGCTTAAGGGAGCCCAATAGCAAATACAAAGCTGCTTTCATGATTTAGAAAAGAGGCAGTTTCTAGGCAGGGGGCAACAAATAGGCAATTAGATGGTTGTCGCTTTGAAGTTTAGGCACCGAGTCTGAGGCTGTGTGCTAATATCTTTTTCCATAGATACACTTTCTTCTTTTAGTATTAAGATAAAGAAAGCTGAAACAGAAAGTGAAACCCCAACCAGTACATACATGAGGAGCTGATGTTGAATTTTCACACCCCATTGCAAAAATACCTAGACCAACTTCCTCTGTTGATGTCACTGTTTTTAGTGTTACGGAGCAGCTTAGGGACAGTCAACACAGAGTCTGAGAACAAAGATGGTTCAAGCACAGAATCCAAGTTCAATAAATTCACCATATGAAAGAAATCAACCTACTATCAGTAGGTTTTCTTTGACTCCGTGGGTAGCCATTGGGCAGCTTAGACTAAAACCTGGACTCATCTGTTTTTTGTAAACTTCAAACTGCACGACTTTATATGGAAAACTTTTTCTTTCCTCTCTTGTAAGTTAACTTGATTGTGAACCAAATCGTAATGTAATGGATACAATTTTCTCTCATTTACAAAACAACGCAAATCTACAATCCCGGAACCGAAATGTACTCACTGAGTAAATCGCCGACCCCGGAAGGAGCC